CTGATAGAGTATGACAGAATTATGATCAAGGTGAATACAGGTTCTCTGCAATTGCATTATAATAGTCTTTCTCTGTCACCCATCAAACTATGATAGGACACTGGAAAATACACGATAAAATTCCTTCTCATTTTGCAAAATTATGTCTCATTTAATAGATAAATTATGTTCTGAATGAGTCAAAACCCCTTAAAATAAACAGTATGTCTTTCTGTCTGTCAACAGTATCTGTTTTCCTAACCATCAGAGGGTCTCAGTAACTTGCACTCTATACTGCATGAGTTGCATTGACAGTATAATTATTTTCTTTATAATGATTTGAAATTGTATCTGAGAGATATAAAAAACTAGAGTTATGGCTGATAGCTATCCCTGATTAAACGTAATCAACTACCCCTGTTAATTCCATTTGTAGATAATTTTATTCTGGAATAAGATCACCCATACCTGAAGTTAAGAGGGTACAGTTAATCAGCATTAATGTCAGCTTTAACAGCCTCTGAAATAACTTTCCCAAGACACAAGATTATTATGAGATCATGTAATTGAAGTCTGTACCGTAAAGCATAAATAGAAGGGCAAATCCTCCCTGAGCTCTACTATTTGTTAAGTTTCTGAGCACTTCATCTTTATACTTAAAGGTTTTATTACATTTGTTTGGTCTGACAAAATTTTCTAGATTTTTTGGTTGGGGGGATGGTTGGGGGTGTTTCTGTAGGGATGAAGAAAGAAAGGGCTATGTTTATTTTTAAGAGGAAAAGGAAAAATAATAGGAAAAAATACCTCTCTCTGATTAGTGATTAACAACAAATTGAAAGGGCTAATACTGAATACTTTCAAGAGCACTTTATGGTGTTCCATTTTAATTAGCAGCAAGCAGTCATTGAGTTCATCCTTCTACCAAGGCGAGTAAGAACAAAGAAATATATTATATCCACCTATAAATGAAAAACCTCTTGTTAACCTTTAAGAACTATAAATATTCCAGTATTCACTTATTCTCTGTAGTGCTAATAATAGAGAACATTTAAAAGCACTGCTAAAAACAAGTTGAATTTAATACTACTGTTTTACAATAGTTCATGTTTGTTAGTAGCAAAACAAACATGTTCATTAGAAATAAGATATCGCTACCCTAGTATAATTTAAAAATATACAAACAAAAGTTCAGCTAAAAAAAAAAAAAAAAAAGTCTTCTGGCATTTCAGTAGTGAAAATCTGGTAAAACCTTAAGTGGTCCCAGACTTCTTTTCAGATCTATTTTCCAGCCATGTAACACGAAAATATACTAAACTAACAGTGTAAAGCAAAACCCAAACTGCCTAGATGCTTATAATATATTCTGGCTAGATAAGACAATGACATGCATTTCAGAGATACCCAGTCTTTCTTTTGAACAGGTAAATCTGCTACTGGCAGCAACACAGCTGTGGGAAGCTAAGGAATCAGCCAAAATGTCACGACCATAAAAGATTATAAATGCAACATAGCTAAAGATATTTGTATGTTCTCCTACTGAGCGCGTGGGACACTGAGAAGAAGATACATAGGCCAATACACTACTGTTAGGAATGGTCCTTCATAGCTACTCACAGCTAGATTTCTTAAAAACAAACTTTTCTGGCTATTTCAGAATTTTGAAAGAAATTATTCTGGGGAAATCTACATGTCCTGGAGCAAAAACCTGCATCACATAACACAGTTCACTGAACTAAATCTACCCCAAATCAATGTCTTTTAATTCTGATCCTAATCTGCAAAGCAGTTACCCAGAGGTTGTTTTTCTCCTGTAGATTCCTTCCCTTCCAGTTCTAGTCACATCGCCATAAGCACACCATATTCTACATTATACTGAGTGTTGCACTATAACAAAAAAATCTCCCCAACTGCAAATTACTCCCTTGTATCTACTTGATTCCCTGCATTTCTCCTACATTTTAAGAAACGGTACACAGTTTCAACCCTGTAACAAATACAGATTATTCAAATGTATACAGACTAAATGAAACTGCTGTAGAAATTACAAACATAAGACATTTTTCTGTTTTTAACAAAACTGAGATGACTCCCATTCCTTTTTTGTCTGTAATGGATCTTTTACTAACTGTTTTCTTCAGGATGATTTTAACTTAATCTGGTCAACAATACGGAAAGGTTAATCTTCACAGCATGTTTCCGTGTGATATAAAATCCCTTCCCTCATTTCAGTCAAGTATTTGCTGCTATAAGAACAAAAGAACTACCCTGTGACGATGACATTTTCCAGTATGGTCACATAGCCTTCCCAACAACAGACAACTCTTTTGATTATTACCAGGGCATATAATAACACTTGAAAATCTACTCAAATGTCTATAAAGTTTTCAGGCTTACTTGCTGCTTTCTTGGTTAAATAATAACATAAACCCCTTCTACCATAGTCAGCCTTTTTGATTCTACTGAATTTCAGCTTTTATCACTGGTACTTCATTTGCTTAAAATAACTTTTTGTAAAAGTCAATTCTCCACAGTAAAAACTGCTATTAATCATAATTATGTTCTGTCACTAACAGAAGTTAGGTAATCTGCTGTTCTTGTAGACTGTTATTTCTTTTAAAGAAAATGATTATTCCCCTTAAAGAAAAGGATTAGAAAATCCTAAAAAAGGATAGGAAAAGCCTCAGAGTAGGACTATATTGTTATTAGAATTTGAGCTCTTAATTCATAACAAAATTATATAGAATACTGTGTGAAAGCTGTATCTATGGATTATGTTTTTAACTACAGTGTTTACCACCTTTATACATGTAAAATTCAACACAAAATGTGTCTGGGTACTGACTGATGATGCTTTGATTGTATGTTAAAATTCCAATATCTGTGGATTTGACAATTTTCCATAACCCAGATTTTCCAGAAGACTACTTTAGACAGAGGCACAGGAAAATATTACTCAGTTTTCAAGTAAAACAGAGTTCCTCAAGTCCCATCAGTACTTACCAGAGCAAACAATTCTAGCACTCCTATAAAAAATAATTTCATTGTATTTATTACATTTCTCTCTATAGAACCTATGATGTAAATAAGACTGCTACCCTCTCTAATCAAACACAATGAAAATATGCAGTACTTCACAATTGTTGCCCTAAAGAGCTCACAGTCTAAATAGATATACTAAGCAAAGAGCAGGGAAGAGTGGTAAAACATAAAAGAATATACAGCAATGACAGCAAACATCGTGTGATTAGATGTAATTATTTCCTGGCATAATGTCCTGGTATCAGCTGAGAGGGTCCTGAAACCAGGACACATATCTAGACTGTATTTCATATAAGCATTTCACAACACATAAGACGACAAAGAAATGAATATACTAGGGTGATAATCTGAGAAAACAGAGTTTTCTTTTCATGAAGTTTTGCTTCCAAAATGGAAATAAACACTGTAAACATTGTAAATACCAAATTAAAAAGTCCGATGAGACAGATACAGTAATACTACATATAGACCCTCAGTGGTAGAACCAAGGACTGCAATTGATATCTTGTGGCTTGCTATTAAGAAAATGAAATGGTTTTAATGGTATAAAATATAAGGGGATTTAATGTTAAGCAAGAGTATTATAACTTTTTTGAAAGACCATCTTGATTCAATTAATTTTTGTTCCTATATTATTTGAAAATTACCTAGTAATTCACCAACCATGTAACATTATAACATCTTTGCAATAAAAACATTGCTCTGATTAAATGCATGGTTAACATTAAACATGTCAAATAGCTTCAGATGCTTAAATTTAAATATGTGCCTGAAGTGCTAAACCTGAAAAGGTACATACATACGCAGGTTAACTGAAATACTCATTTGCTGCAGTGTAAGCCCTTGGTATTTAAAAATGGGTATGTCTAAGTACTTTTTTAATGATGATCGTATTTAGATAGTATTATTTATATAGTCTTTGGTTTTGCATGTAGAACCCTGTACAATTTCTGAGCCACAGGTCTGAAGATGAAAAAGACTAAATAATTATGACAATAATTCTGACTATGCCTGTGCAATCAAGTAACATCAATTGCAGTTGGGTTTCTTTTTCCCTATATAGCCTCTCAAAAAGGCTTTCAGGTGAAAAACAAACCCTCCTTTATGTACAGACCTTCATAAGATTCTATCTCCTTGTCTCCATTATCTAGGGAAAGTAACAAAAACAAAACAAACAAACAAACAAACAAAAAAAGGGAACCAAAGCACAGGGGTTAAAAACAATGGAAGTCTTATAAAAGATACAATATACATGTCAAGAAGGATTAAAAAAAGGAGTGTATATGGCCATTTAGACTGATTTTGCACAGCACATCTAGTTATCAGAAGGGGAAGAGTGAAAATGTATTTGTTATCAAATATGTGTTTATACTACTCTGTTTCTAAACATTTTGGAAAATGTTTCCATTGACCAGTGCTTTTATAAGACATTAGAGATAAGCACAATTACAGTACCGGTAAAAACATGGATCATGAAATATCTTGCTGACCTTTCCTATTTTAAAGATTATTACCTCTCTTCTTGCTCTTCCTGGTTCAAGATGCAGAGGTTTTATATTAGCAATCTGTAATACGCTCCATGTGAAGCCATAAGGGATCGGCTATGCTCCTAACTCGCAAAAGAGCCAGAGTTTTATCACTAAACAGCATACAAAAGATCATTTCCTGTGCCTGTTGAAGTCAATGACAAAACACCTATTGAGTTCAAAAGGAACAGGATCATGCTAGTAGTTAGTCCATCTTGGTTCATGTGTATTACACTGTTGATGATTATTGTACTGCTGATGATTCACTTCAGATATTCAGATATTAAAACATAATAGAAGAAAATACAGTACAAAATACAATACTGCTATCAAATCCTAATTCTTATGCAAAACCTCAAGAGATTTCAACTATAGCGCCAAAAGAAAAAATAATAAAAATAATTGACCTTCATGAGCAATTTTGAAACATCATTAAGGAGAAAACCATACACTTACTTCTCTCCAACGTCCCCTTTGGTGGGAGCTGCGGTAACTGTCTGCCCCTTCGCCCTACTACTGGAGTACTTGATGGACTTGTCTGAACAGACCCAGTTCGAGGATGTGACCTATGAGACACATATCAAAACAAACCACAGCCATTAAATGACAAATTCTTCCTTAAATACCATCAAGAACTGATAACATGACTAAGAAGTAGGCTTTAGATCACTTGGGACCCTTGCAGTCCCATAGTGAAACTATTATCTCTTTTCAGAAAAAGACTTGATTAAAAAGAGAAATCTATGTGAAAAAGAAGAAAAGAAAGCCAAACTAAGGCTGAACATTCATAATGTGCTTGTTTGCACAGTCAAGCCAGAAAATGTGTGTATATTCATGTGCATATGGATATAATACCCACATACACATAAAATTATCCACAGGTCAAATTAAATGATCTTTAGTCAGCTTGTATTTGGTTAAATTACCATTGAGTGGCAAAGAGATTCCAGGGATTTGCCTAAACAAAGTAATAAACTGAGAAAAGACACTGGTATTTGACTCTAACTCTCACTGGGGATTTGATGTTACTAACTCTCACTTTCAGAAAACAAAAGAATGTATTCTGCAATTCTAAAATAAGGAGAGGCTTTACTGAACATCAACTAGACCAAAATGTACTCATCTTTTTATTGTATTATGTTTAAGCTAAGAGTAATGTATAGAAATCTTCAAAATGTCAATCAGTAAAGTATAGGACTCAAACAGGAATAATACAGACTATGGCACAGTAAAATGTAGTCAGAGAAAATGGTGGTTAAAATGGTAATTAATAGACAAAGTTAGTACATTCCATTTAAAGAAACTTTTTTATTAAAAAAAAGTTTCATTTGATGTTGCTATGATGGTTGTTCCATAAGCGATGTCTGATGAACACAAACAATTTTTCATTCTTTAAGAGAAGAATATGATAGTTATGAGGTGCTTTATGTGGGAAACCATCCAGGATTCCTGATAAATGAGAAATCACAAAAAAAAAAAGTCGTTAAATACCGTTAGCAAACAATTTGCAATGGCAGCCACACCATTATATCCAGAGTAGAATATAAATAGTGTGTTGGCACTCAAAGGGTTAGTATCTATTGCTACTAGTGATCAGCTAAGGATGAGGCGATACCAATTAGCTACTGGGAAAATAAAATGGTGAGCTGGTGGGGCAGAAGGGGATTAGTCTGGTTGATTTGTCTGTTTCACCTCGATAAGGCAGGTGAAGGAGGGGCAGATCTTCCAGTCATTAATGAAGGCATCGACCTGATGAGGTTTGAGTCAGGACGCTCTGTGGATCGGGAGCGGGAGTTGGTCCGCTCTAGCATAGGACGTTGCTCTGTTGATCTGGATCTTTGATATGGCTGTCTATCTGCTGCTTCACAATTCCTGTAATGTTAGTCAAAAAGCAGCTCAGTTGACCTTTGACTTTTTCTATTAATTACAAAATATGCTGCATGATACTGGTTTGGAGCAAATCATTTTGCTATGTACATTTTGGGGGGTAAATTTTCTGAGTTCGCTTCTTGATAACATACAGTTTTTTTATACATGTATGATTTGGCTTGCTCCATACTCTTGACAAATGGGCTGAAATGTTTCCAATGTCTCAGTAATGACTATCCATGCAATAGTCTGTTTCCTGGCAATTTCTGGGTAAAAATATTATTATTTTGTTAATTAATACATCAACCTCTGAGGAAAAGAATAGCTGACATAATATTAAGTCTCACTAAAGCTAAGGATTCATTTAATTGTGCAGTTGAATTGAGCATTTTTACTCACACCACTAGGTTTTTTACAGACGGTATTATCTTTAGAGGTAGTACTCTTGTTTGTAGGAAAGTCCACATGCCAGATGTTATAATTACCATGTGCACTGTTAACTATTATTAGACTCAGGATGTCTGTCAAAATATAGGCTAGGCTATAGTGATGGATTCATACGAGGCGTCTGGACTGCAGTGAGATGAAAATCTACATTGTTAGTACTTGCAGAGGTTCCACCAATTAGACAAAGTTTGGTTTGTAATAAAAAAAAAATAATCTTCTAACCCACAGCCTAAAGAACTGTGCCAAAGCAGCAATGGAAAAAGTTGCTATTAGAGATGCAACAGGGAGAAAGTTGACCGAGTAAAAGAGAATTTATTGATCAAGCAGTCTGGTCTTCTACTATCGCAGGCAATTAATCATGCCATTACTTTCAGAAAATAATCAAGCCCCACCTTTTTTCACAATGGAATTGGTCTGTGTGCAAGGAGTAATATTTGCTAGCAATATCCTAAAATACATAAAGTCAAGGTAATTTTTAAAATAAAATCCATACCCTGATGAAACTACTTACTAAATTCACACTCCTCCCAGTTCTCTTTGAGTAACTGAACAGCTATAGAATACAAATGGGGAACATGTACCCTTCAGGACTTTTCCTTGAGCGAAGTCATGCATTTTACAATGAAATCAGTTAATACAAAGAGTGACTGGATGGTGATTAAGTGTAACAAGAAGTCGAATTTTAATTAGTATCAAAAAAGAGAGAGACATACCACAGCCTCATTATGAAGAGTCTTATGTTATTAGCAGCATTTTATTTCTAAAAACCATATTGAGACAGGGTAAAGTTGTCTCTAGGGTGGCTAAGTTTGCTGAATGCGTTGATAAAAGATTCATTAAAACTAATGTCTCTTCAGGCCTTCCATGAGGTAATTATTGGACTCTCAGAGCATACGAAGGAATTGCCACAGACAGGTTCAGAATAATACCATTCACCACAAGCCTACAACTACAAGCTCCTAACAAGCAAACACACCACAGTGAGACACATAATGGTAATTATAAGCTGAGGCACTAAAGATTAGAGGAAAAGTACAATGAGCCTGGCACAAAACCACAACAAAATTACCTCACTTCTTCTTCTATCAGTTCTGTTTCTGAATGGGAAGGTTCATCAGCAAAAACATCCACTGTCTCGCTTCTTTTACATTGCGGATAGACAAAGAAACACAACCTTAGCTTTGGTATGAATATTGCTTAGTTTAGATAACGTTAAAAGAGGTTTCAGTGCTATGGAAGGTGAGAAACGTGTCAGCCATCTGCATGGTGATTAAAAAAATGACCATGGGAATAAATTCTTAGACTATGGGAATAAATTCTAAGAAAAAAATATTCCTAAATTCAGCAACATTACAAAAGAGAATATAACCAACGTCCAGACAACCCACTCCTACCTTGTGTACCCACATGTTTAAGAAAATCAGTGAGCCCACAGAGACTTTCTTCTTTGGGTCTGTCACAGATAGAGAGCTAGAACAACCCTTGTCCTGCCAGTGAGTGGGGGACTGCTGGAGCACACAGCAGCAGGGACTGGGCAATACGGCAAGACGTATCAGTCCATTTTCTATTTCTGTCTCCTTCCAACCGCAAGTAGGACACACAGAAGAACCAGTGAATAGCAACCACATGATTCACATAAACACTTCATGAGAGGTTAAGCCTCGTTCACTTGCTACTCCTAAGGCCTCATTCTCTTTAGCTGTTGTACAAAAAGGTTTTTTTAGGATGTTAGGGAACTGACCCATTGCCTGTATTAGAAGGCAGGGAGGCATTTTAACATCAGGATCAATGCTAATGGGTTAATGGGCAGGTTTTGTATTCTGCAAAGCATCATGGAGGCACTATAGCTAACAGATAAAGGCCTCCGAAATTTCATATTCAGCAGTTAATATCAATATTCAGTTTGCCACAATCCACAGCTGGCATTTACTTCAGGTGGAAAAAGACACAGAGGTTCCCAGAAGTGGAGGAGAACGTGGATTTTTGCAGTGAACCATTTGCTTTTAGGAGCAGCTATGGCACCACTGTTGTTTTGTAGACCGAAGGATTTGAAGACTAAGTTGAATCCTGAGGTGAAACTGAGTTGTTTCCCTCAAGTTACAGGCTACATGCTGCGAACCTCTCAGTACCCACAGCAGCAAATGGAGGGCTGTGTAAGCTTTCTGACAGTCTTCCACCTGAAAGCTTCACTGTGTGGTTGTAGATCATACACAAATAAAGAACAATTCAACAGTTACTATCTGGAGTGAAAGAGGCATGTTCTTTGTCCTCACTTATTTTCTTGTCCTTTTAACAGTAAACACATGCTATATGATCCAGGTCTTCAGAAATGAACCGTCCCTGTTATAGAAAAAATATGCCCCCGATAACCTGCTCGAACAGTAAAGCTTTTCATCTACCACGGTATACAACTATGCATTAATATCACAATTCAGCCATAAGCATGGAGGGGGAGTTTTTAAAACACCTCAGTGAATTAAAAACTTTTCATAACTTTTCAGATAACATTCTTGAGGGCTAATGCTCCCAAGTTATCTAGATGAAAGTTTCCTCTATTCTCATTATAATACATATTGTATGAATTACTGATTTTTTATAATAGTCTAAGTTAAAGTATTCAACATCCACATAATATTTTAATGTATGCTAGAGCTGTTTATCTTTGCTAACAGACTTTTCATTATAAAAAATACAGTTAATGAAATGTCAAATAGTGACCTCCTCCATTTAGTATTGCCTTTCATAGCATCCTTCTACCTTTGCTAAGGAAAACATGTGTGGTAGGTGACCTATTCTCCTGTCAAAGTCTAGGAGACTTGTGAGGGTAACTCTCCCCTACAACTGAGGAAAGAATAGAGCAGTAAGTGTTTGCTTCTCAACCAAGCACACCTATCCCTCTGCAACTGTTTGAGCTCTTTGTAAGCCACCATGCGGAAAGCTCTGTGAGTATTCACAAATTAATTTTATATTCCAAACCCATCAAAATTTAGAATTAGAATCCCATACTATTTAGGTATCACTGTAAATTCTAGTGACTACAATATTTAACCAAAGGTGCTATGACATGTTGTATTAACTACTGATTGATCTGCATTGTTCTATGTTCATATTCTGGAAATTTCAAAAGCTAACTCTTCCCAATGCAGAAAATAACCATTTCTAATTTTTAATTTTTCAGATTTGTTACTTTTCTTAACAAATAAAAAGGAGAATTTTCCACAAATGAATACATTCATTGATCTAAACTTATGTGTAGAGAAAGCTTTATAAAAAAGGAACATTTTTCAACAGTAAGCAATCATAACAGCTTACAACACAAATAAGAGTTGGGGCTTTTTCCCCCAAAATAACTGAAAGCAGTTTATTTGAAAGCCCATGTTAAATTCTTTTACTGTGTGCAAGACTGACAAAGCAAGCTATGAGATCATGCCAATCACAATTTTAGTACTAGGTTGTTCTTGTAACAAAAAACTGAAGAAATAAAAATAGAATTGCTGTAGGATTACAGTACACTACAATTCAGCTCCTAGTACATCTTTTTTCATCTAGAAACACTGAGCACAGAACAAGAAAAATACAGCAATACATTTTCTAATGATCATAAATTCAAACTCCAGCTAATATACATTGGTAATACCTGTCAGTGTCTGTGGATGGCTGCTGGATTTCAATCCTTGGACATGTTATTCTTCTACTAGCTATAGGAACTTTGCTGTTTAGTCACAGACACAAGATCCTCTGTTAGAATAACATAGATAAGCATGTCTACAAACAACTGAGATTTCTAGTACCAAGCAAACTTAAATTTGAGTCGTAAATATTGTAACAGAAAATGAGAAAACGGGAAGGAGCAGTATACTGCCAAATATCTAGATAAACTGGTGACTGGGTATCTCACCAAATCACTCATCTATACCTATAAAGAAACTTAATATAAAATGATGTGTTGCTACAGTTTTTAAAAGCCAGGAACGTAATGCCTTTAGGTACTCTTGCAAAATAAACAAAAATAGGAAGCAAAGCAAGATATTTTTTCTGCAGTAATATTCTATCATGCTTCATATATATGTGGTATATATATCTATACACATACATGCACACACCCATATGATCTATTCACACGCACATTACACTGTGGTGTATGTGATAACTATGGGTACATCTACATGACCATCACAGGCATGACTAAACTGTAACACGCCAGTATCTGAACTACTTTTCTGCTACCTAACTCAGCTAAGCAGGCAAAGCAGCGAACTCAGCTGCCATCCCAGGCACACTGGGCTCCACACTGCCATGTGGAGACTGCTACAGCTACAGAAACTCAGTTGCTTACAGCTTGCTTAGGTATCTGTACATGGCATTGCAGTCACTTCGGTGATTCTGTTGTAGACACATCTAATCATGCTAACACATGATAGCTTGGCAGAATCATAAAAATGCTTAAAGAAAACACATACAGCTATATCTATTGAGATTTCCTCTCCAAAATATGTTTCATCATCAGTAGATTGTAAGGTTGTTTAATTACTGAGGAATAGGAAAGCCCTGCTTTA